AAATAACCAGTGGGATTTCCTACGAAAAAAAGTTGAAATTTATAAAAGTCGGCAAATTAGATGAAAAAACGAAAACATGCAATTTTGTTGTCCAACTCAAAAAAAAATCTATCCCCTGCTCAGGCTCACAGTGTTTAATTGAAGTTACGATATTATAACGAAAGCAAAATTCAAGTTATAAGGCACTGTTAGAGCTAGCACATCATTGTTGACAATGCTTTACCTTAAATGTTTCTACTTGTTTAGCATTCAATTCACTTGTGTCAATTTTTTGTGCAGAATCATCAGCAATAACTCTTCCATTCTTTTTTGCTGTCTTTGACACTTTTCTGGAAAGCAGTAAATTTTATTATTTGGACTGCAAAATTGTTATATGGCTCGAAACAAAACCATGTGGCCTTGTTATCCTTGCTACGCAAGGTTAGCCCCCACCGCAATCACATCTGCGCAAAATCTGCAAAAACCCCTGCTCTTCTAATACTGAGAGGAAATGAGGAAAAGAGAGGGCGCGGAGGGAGGAAGGGTAAGAAGAGAACCTAAAAAGATTAACCCTGAAACAAACGTATTGTGTAAGTTTTAGTGGGGAGTTTTCTGAAATGTCACCGTTTTGTCCACAGCTTCTCTGGGTTTTGGGAAAGAGTCATCGTATAAGGCTTCCTTGCTCCCTCGTCTTGCCGTTATGTCCGATCTCCTGAACAACAGCACCCCTCAGAAACTGACTGTGCGCCAAACAAATTCAACAACAAACTTACTGTGAAACGGTATCCATGTGCTTGACACTTTTGATCTTTTGCGATATGCCTTGATCCAGACTTGCGGTTTCATCAGACGTGTCCATCAAATCATCCAAACATTTCGGGCGTCGAAAACCTGTGCGTTCAAATCTGCTGCGTGGTGTCGTGAAAAAATCGTCAGTTGCTAAATCATCGTTGAATGACAAATCGCCATCATGGAACGTGTTAACAATTTCATCGCCGCCACTACCTCGCGATCGAAGAGTAACCTGCAATTTACTGCTTTGCAAGAATTATTATCAAATCTCATCAGTATTCCACATTCATTCATCTGGAAAGATTAACTTGCCGCAGGCTCGTCCGGCGCCTTTAAAAAAAAAAAAAACTACTTGTTTTGATATAGAATGATTATTCACCAATTCACCCAGTCAGTTCTATACAATTACATTAAAATCCCTCTTCCCCCCATATGCATTCCAAAGTTTTCCATTTCAGTGAATGCATTGGAAAAGACTCCATATCGAAAGTATTATAAAATGGAACAGGTTTGACTTTTGTACGAGGAAGAGGGGAATAAATAATATTTTTGAAGTAGCAAATAAGCTGAAAAGTGCCATTTACTGTGAAAATGTATTTTATTATATTACTGTCCATTGTGCGTATTAAACTACCGAAGACTAATGAGCAGAATGAAAAAATTATTTATTTGATGCCTGGAGGTGAACAACGCGCACGGTGAGGTCGCTAAGCTGCAATCGAAGGCAGTCAATATGTAAGGACAATCTCTGGAATAACCCGGGGTTAATAAATGGATGCATTTCGATAACACAGAATGCTCAGAGCAACAAGTACGAGTAGCAAAATTAGATGCCAATTTTCATTAAATCTCATCAAGCTGGAGATTTAATGAAAATGGGCTAATTTGGGCAGGAGCGCCGAAACTTGATTTATGATAAATTTAGATGATTTTTTAGTTATTTTGCTATTTCAAACACGGCAGTGTATTTCACACTTGAGAAAACCCCACACATAAACCGTAGAAAAGTAATTAGTTCTGAGCTCATTACAGATCCTTTGGACTGACACCGGATGGGCGAAAGACTACAATCCAATGTATATCATAAGGCGGTTTCGAGTTTGTTTTGATTTGAACCTGTGATCATCGGTGATGACACAGTCGAAATTGAAGCTTGAATTTGATCTATTTATAAATGCAATAAGGTAAAGTCGATTCTTTGAAATATGTTTTTTTTTTTCCGAGTTGTAACTTCAGCCGGATTTTTCGAAATTGAAATCAGGTCAAGTAGCTCAGAAGACACAAAAGTCTGAAGAATGACACCGGATTAGCAGCCTTTAGTTAGATTGGTTGTGCTTACAGAACATTAGCTTCCCAATCACTTCCGATGTCCTCAACTCATGCTAATCTTATGCTCATTATCCGGACATAACGGATGCAAATAGACGTATGTTTGCCATAGCACGCACTCGATTTACATAAAAAGCGCAAGAAGGAGCCATCGCACAGTATGAGCTGTTAGCACCATAAATGGTCTT